GAGTTTCAGAATACGATTTGTAATTCATTACAACACGTTATTAAAAGCTATTCAAAATGAATTCGTTAAAAGATTAATTTTGTGTATCCAAGAAAATGGAGCTCATTTCGAGTAACTAATTAGTTAGATCACCATTTTTTTCGTTTTATTAAAATACGTTAAGATTTCATGGTTTATTTTTTTCATTTAATTAACCAATTTTGTGAGAGAGATTTTATTCTTATAATTAACCCTATCGATCGATGCAATAAAAGTGCAGGGTGCATTTTTTTCAGATTAGAGCGGGTTCGATTCCCGCGTGTTGCTAGAAATTTTCGAAAATCTATGAATGCAGTTTTATTTCTTTTAAAAAATAAAGGAATGTTTCCTTTAAGTAAAAAATTCTATCTCCAGTATTTAGAGTACTTTCCCTCCAGGTGGCATTACAAATTTCCACCCTGTATAATTCAAATTTTTTATTTGATATCACATTTCGACTATAGGTACACATCTCATATCATAAAAAAACATTGAGTGCACTGTACATTTTTGTTGAGTATTAGTAGAGAAGATTTATTAAAACGTCATGTATGATAACCTTTGTTCTGTACTGTACACAATGTATTTATATACTACATAGTCTCTGTAAATAGAAATCTTTGTAGTTGCCTTCGCATGGCGATCGCGTACAGACGTAAACTACGCGTGTTTAAAATTCTATAATTATAGTTTTAATATATGTAGCTACATAATATGGCAACCAACTTTGCTTAGTTGTTGATTTTCGTTGAATCATAAGTGTGACATCATTCAATACGCTAAAATAAAATTGGAAACAAAGCAAAACCTATAAAACATAAAAAAACAATCCTTGTACTCATAAGTGTTCAAAAAAGATACTTTATTCTTTTTATTTTAATACAGCACCTTGAACCTAAACGTTAATAACATCTAGACATGCTATATAAACTTCACGCCATTCGAAGTGATAAAATATGGGTTTGAAATTACCGTCTTCCAGATACCAACGTTTCTCAGAGAACCGTAATGTGTTCCGTCGACTATGGGACAATTTCCCCGGGTTGGGATCTACAGCGTTGGCTGTTGCATTGGTGATTGCCCTTGCCGTTGGTGTGTGGTGGGTGGTGTGCGGTGCCTTGGGAACTTCATGGGGTGACCATCATTACAAGTAAGTTTTGTATTTGCAATTTTTTTTGTTGATTGAACGTAATTTGAAATAATGAAAATGTTTTTCACCTCTGTCACTTTTCTGATTAGTGAAATTATACTCAAGTTATAATCCTTTTCAGCAATATTACTTACTTTTTTAAAGCGTGTCTAGTTTTCAAATTTTATATATCAATTTACAAAATCTGCTAAATAAAATGAATAGTCTAGGTAAAGAATGATCAAAATCACTGGAGGAGAACTTAAAGAAAAATTAATTTGGAAATCTTTTCACATAATGTAGGCAAGGGGCAATTTACCATACAAATTTGTTAAATGTTTTACATGGTTTCTACAGATAGTTTCCATTGTAAATTCATGGGGCACTATGAACAAGTTTTATATAGTTTATACTGAATTAATTAATGAAATGTATAATAAAATATATTTAAATGATTAGTCTTATGTATAATGGCCATCCTTGTTGTTAATCTCGGCAGAGCTAGAATAAATGGCAGGAAAAGTAAAAAGAGATGCAACCAGAAAATGTTAACAACTATACAAATTAAATAAACTTTGTAGGGATTGTATTCTAAAACCCACTAATGATTAATAAACAATATTATTGTTGTTATACTTACGAAGATCGTAAAAGTTTTTTAAAATTTTATAACATCTCATTATTCATAGGACATTTTGCTTAGCTGTTTTAAAAGCCATATCTTTACAGGAAATTATGGGAACGGGCACATCCGGATAATATAAAGAAACCATTATCGCCGATTCCATTTGAAAAGGTAAATTTGCTTACTCTCTATCACAATACTGGGACCGTCCCTGCCGTACATCGTTTTGTGCGATGATTAATGAACTTCATTGTATAGAGTTTAAGGCTTTCGTGGTTATTCACTAAATTGTTATCACTAATTACAGGTTTCTTACCACGATATGATTTCTTTTTATTTTCCCGATATTTCGGAACGGTTACACGCTCCAATGTCACGGGGTGACAGTGTCAACCCGTGATAGTGGCAACCCGAGTCAGTGGCAAACCGTGACAGTGTCAACCCGTGATAGTATCAACCCGTGACAATGTCAACCCGTGACAGTGTCAACGATTCCGATCGGGAAATTAAAAAGAAATCATATTGTGGTAAGAAACCCGTAATTAGTGATAATCATTTAGCTTTATTATGATTATTGTATTAAGTAGTTTCATTAAAATTCCAACAGCCACCAGTGACTGAGTATACAAACTCAAACCGCTACCATGACCATAACAACCTATCAACGAAGAACAAGAACGTCAGTGCTGAAGTTCCTAAGAAGAAGGAGGCATTGAAGAAATATTACAATACAATCCCGCTGGAGAAGATGGATCAAGTTTGTGGAAATGTTTCTGTGAAAATGAGATTTGATTGCTCACCGGGTGCTGGACAGGATGTATGTGAGAAAAGAGGTTAGTTTTGTATATGATAAAAAAGAAATTATCATTTTCATTATTTTTCATGATTGCTACACATTAGAAATAAAAAACAAATATAACGGGTCCGCCAAATTACTTTTTTTTTTTAAATGAAATTAAAAAAGAAACTACTGAATATTTTCTCAAATTTCTTTTTTTATTTGAAAGTACAATCCTTCCGGTTCATAATGCAAAATAATTTCATTCAAATGGCTGCCTCGGCTGGCCATGCAGTAGCCTACACGATCGGTCCAATTTTTAAGCACATTATCGATTGTGTGCAGCTGTATTTCACCAATGGCTTCACGAATATTGTCCTTTAAAGCGTCAATTGTCTCTGGCTTGTCGGCGTAACACTTATCTTTGACGGCACCCCACAAATAATAGTCCAACGGTGTCAAATCGCAGCTCCGAGGTGGCCAAACGACATCAGCTCTGCGGCTGATAATGCGATCTTCAAAAACAGGGCGCAAAACATTGAGTGTAGCTTCGGCTGTGTGGCACGTAGCGCCGTCCTGTTGAAACCAAATGTTGCCAATACCCTCCTCTTCAATTTTTGTGAACAAAAATTCGTTCAACATGGCCCGATAACGATCGCCATTGACTGTAACGGCCACTCCTTGCTCATTTTCGAAGAAAAATGGCCCAATTATGCCTCTGGACCAAAATCTGCACCAAACAGTGACTCGTTTTGGGTGCGTCGGCTTTTCAATGTATGCGTGCGGGTTTTCTGTGCCCCAAATGCGACAATTTTGCTTGTTTACATACCCGCCAAGATCAAAATGAGCTTCATCTGAAAAGATGATTTTTTTTGCAAAATCGGCATCTTCTGTAAGTCGATCGCAGGCCCACGTAGCGAAGCGAAAACGCATTGGATGGTCAGTTGGCTTCAACTCCTGAACCAATTGGACTTTGTATGGCGTCATACCAAGGTCTTTATGCAAAATTCGTCTCAATGATGTCTCCGAAATGTTCAATTGTTGAGAACGACGGTGAATTGATGTTGATGGCGCTTCACGCACACTTTCTGCCACAGCAGCAATATTCTCGGGTGTACGCACTGTTTTGGGCTTTTCACGCATTGGTTTATCGATGAGGATGCCAGTTTCTTTCACTTTTTTCACAAGATAACGAACATACGGAGCTGACGGTGCTTCTCTTCTTCCAAAATCCGTACGCAATTTTCTCACACATTCTGCAATATTACCATGATTTTCAAAGTAATGTCGCAATATTTCCCAGCGTTGTTCAAGCGTATACACAACCATATTCGTTCAGCGGAAGGATAAAACTAATTATCTGTCAAATCAAACATGAGCTAAGTGTTACTATTCACGAAATAAGCACTAGTTGAAAAAAAAAACGTTATTAGTTATATTTGTTTCTTCAAACAAGCCACCATTTCCGACTCTTTACAGGTCGCATGGTCGCAACTGATTGAGATTATTTAATTAATATCAATACTCTTATTATAAGGTTGCAAGTATTTTGTGCACTCAACTTACTTTTACTTTGTAAATCTCTTAATGTGTCTGAAAACCACACCAAATAACCTGGTCTCAGAATTCCCTTGTACTATGTTACCAAAGCTAGAAATTTACTCCATGGCCCTTCCTAGCTCACCCAGATTGGAACCAAAATAGAAAAGTTCCACTTCCTAATTTGATGCTACTGGGAACCCAGAACCTTTTCATCTAGCGCCTATAGTGCTAACCTCCAAGTCGTTGAGGTCTTGAACCCTGCCCTCGAAACGAAAAGGGCCACAACTGACATTTTTATCAAAATTGAGTTACATACATTTTCGAAATCAGGAAATAAAGACCAACCTACGTTATTTTTTGTAGAAATGTTACATCTCAATAATTGTTGAATATACTGCAAGCTCAAAGTTACTTGTGCCCTTTGTCGTGACGACGGCAGTATTTAATGTCATTTTTTAAACGTAACTAGTTTTGCCGAATAAAACTGAGTACTGCTAAAGTCACGTGTTATGCTCAATTCAGTGAATTCAGAACTTCAAAACGCTCCCCTGTAAACTTGGCAATTTCGACATACGATGCTTTACGTAGGAGGGGTCGATTTGTCTTATTACACTACGCTGTAAGCAATGCAAAACTTTATGTAAAATGCATATTACGCTACTCAATTTCTAGGGCCCAGCTTCAAGGGTGGGCGTGGCCCATAGTTAGTGAGTCCTTTATTACGTTACTCTGCCAACCAGATCCTAACTCATTATGCACGCGAACGTCGAGAGCTATCAGGGCGTCATCGAAACTTGTACTTGTTATTGTTTTTCATCGTAATTTCAAGTAAAACTTTAAAGAACTCTTACATCCTTATTAATATAGTCTTTGTGATCTTTCGTCCATAGATATGTGTTTCTACATGTCTATCAGGCACAACAAAACTTCTTTTTCTTTATTGCACAAGATAGCGTAACTGTCTCCGTGGCCGAACGGTTGCCACACTGGACTGCCACGCAGAGGTTCCGGGTTCGATTCCCAGGCCGGGAGAAATATCTCTCGTGAGTTTGGGTGTAATTTGGTTGTCTATATTTGTGTACATGGCACCCGCAGTACAGGGTTTCCTTAGTGTGAGGCTATGAGCGTGCAAGTGTTAATGGCCATAGTAAGACAAAATGGCTGCGCAAACCAGAGGTACGAAACGCTACAACTGCTCTAAGAAAGAGAAGTTGCGCGTCGACTGTACTCCTTAACTGCCCTAATTGTTATTACACTACCCTATCTTCAGGACGCTGCAAATCGGGACGACAGGATCGCCCAAAATTAGGACACTAACCTAACTCCCTAATTATTATTACACCTCCCTAAATTAAGGGTCACTTGAAATTGGGTAGTGTAATAGACACTTTAATACTATGTTATGGTTTTCAGGTTGTTGCTGGCGGCCCACAAAAGTGCGAGGGGCTCCCTTTTGCTATTATCCTCCTCAATACAACACCTTCCGATTCCTTAACATGACTGAGAACAAACACGGCATGCGCGTCTACTACGAACGTTGGCGTCCTTCTGGATACCCCGACGATTGGACTTATGCTGTGGTCGACTTTAAATATCTGAGCGAGGACATGCTACGAATCAAGGTGAGTTATCTAATTATCTTTAAGAAATAAGTTAAAAGATGACTCGAATTTAATAGCATGATTTCAATACCCTGGTTTTAAATAATGTAGACATTTATTATAGTAAACATTTTATTGCATATTTAAGTAAGTACATGTTTCATAAAGATATTTAAAAAATTCTGACCGGCTTAAGCCAATTCTGAGTGTAATGTCTTGCTAACACGTTACCATGGGACAGTTACTGTTGTATGTAAAACTATCAAATCGATATAGTTTTACATTTCGCCGTTTAGACCACCGAATGGAGTTTCCCATCACTATGTAGCGCTTGTGACATCATCGGGGATACAAAAAATGTGGCACGCTTGGTTTTCATGCAGATCGCGGTACTCGCGGTGTCTACGTAGATATAATTATGGTGTGTGGTGTTTAATAACTGCCTCCGTGGCTGAACGCTTACCAGGTTGGTCTGGACGGGTTCGGTTCCCGTGCCGGGAGAAATATTCATATGGCCTACATTTATTTCTCTCGTGAGTTTGGTGTAATTTGTGGTTGTCTATGTGTCTCCATGGCACCCGCGATACAGGGTTTCCCTAGTGCGAGGTTATGAAAGTGTGCGCTTTATTATTATTATTATCATTATAAAAAATTACGAAAACCTTCAAATAATAGCATGAGTGGTTACATAAAAATTACACAAACTGTGTCAAGTGATCCAGTTACCTTTGTAATTGTTTGAGTATCATAAATAAATAACTTGATTTGAAGAATTGTGAATTGTATTTCAGATTTACGATCCAGAGAACAAGCGCTTCGAAGTGCCCGTTCCGCAAGTGCCGATAGTGTCTGGTCCCATCTGGAACATGAAATTCAAGGTGGTCGTAAATAGTTCCGGTGTAGGCTTCAAGGTCGTGAGGCTTCTCGACGCAGTTCCTATGTGAGTAAATAAAGCATATACATCGTCATCATTAACTAATTATACGCCGCACAGAGTGTTTAACGTGTACAGAGGGGAACAAATCAATGGGACATGAACGGCATCATTAAAAATTTTACTTATAGAAAACATACTTTTATTTTTCTTAATATGAATAACTGCATTCACCGAGTTTTCCAAAAGCTTACTTGAGCCGGGAATCGAACTAACTGTTATGTTTTTTTTTATATGTATGTTACGCGATAACTTTTGCATTTATGAACATTTGTGAACGGATTTTGATGAATCTTTTTTTTTGTTGGAAAGAAGGTACCTTATATGTGGTCCCATTTAAATTTGAAGAAAATATTCCACCACTAAGGGTGGCAAACTAGGGGATGAATGACTGTTGAGGTCGGTTTTTTAGTATTCTGCACTGATTTTGTTGTACTAGATATGATAAAGATAAAATCTCGCCAATAAACGTTGGATCTTCACTTAGAGCTACATTTGATAAGTAAAAACAGGAATTTTTAATGAAAGGGAAATACTAAAATTCCCCGAAAGATGGCTACTAATAATGTCCAATACATAATAGAATTAGTTCGGTATTTATGTTTTAAATTCTTTTTCATTTATACTTTGATACCGCACTTACTTTTTGACTAACTCATTAGTTATACCATACACCAATAAGTCAAGAGGCCTGCCTATCTCCACACTACAGATTGTAACTCTGAAAAAGTTCAAAACTCCGTCTTATATCGAAATGGCGCTGACCAATAGACTAAAATAATAACGCGCACAATACGAAACATAAGAAGTCATTAAGTAATTAGTAGATTCTGGCGTTACTTTGCGGAAGTCCATGTTAATAAAAATGTAACAATTCAGGTATATTTTTGGTGGTGGTTTGTGACTGTAGTTGCACTTGTATTATTTATTTTATTAATTTTATGCGGATGGAGAATGGGAAAATATTCAACACAAGCGCAGCTATTTTGCACGATTTAACCTTCACTGGATTCGCGGAGTAGCAAATTAATTTATTTCCATTTTTATTGTAAGAAGTCAGTTTTTTTCCTTGTAATATTATTAAAATATTAATCATGAGAATTTGTTTTTTCTGTAGTTTGACAAATATACGTGTCGATAGATTGGCATTGTGATTTGTGTGTTACAAACTAATATAAATGAAGGCTTCCTAATATAGCTAGATGTCGCTTATCCTAAATAAAATAAAAGAATAGCTGGCAATAACCACTGTGCAATAAGCACCATCTAGTTTATTTGTTTGTTATCACTGGAAATTAGAGTAGCTTTGATAAATTGCAGCGTGTCAGTGTAAAACAAATTAGTTACAAAAATAGCCATTTGGTACTCGTCGCGACATCTGGTGTCCCAATGGGTAGCAGTAGATATGACAGCAGTAGCAGTAGACCTCCTTATGAAAGAGTTCGTCCAGGGAAGTACTGCCACCTTACCTATTTCTGCCGCCAAGCAGTAATGTCAGTATTACTGTATTCCGTTTTTGAAGGGTAATGGCGCTGGTGAAATTACATGCACATGAGACTTGTCTACTTAGTATCAAGGTGACGGACGCACTGGCAGTGCCCCTCAGATCTTTGCAATTTAAAGCTCTGAGTGGCACTGTAACTGTTATGGACAGGCGTGTAGCTTACCATCAGGCGCACGACTTGTTCGTTCCGTCACTTGACATTAATATATAAAAAAAAAGTACTAAATGTCCGATTACGCTGTCTTGTATTGCGTTAGCAGTCCTCTTGAGTCATTGATCCGTGGTTATACTTTTAATAAGTACAATTGCAAAACTTTTCATATGTACATAGAACAAAAAACATAAAACAAACTACAATATTGTTCTTATCGAGATTTTTTTGTGAAACAACACTACTTTTGTTGTTGTGATTCATCATCCCTTTTATACGTCCCACTGCAGGGCACGGATATCATGAAATACAATATTATAGTTTATTATATTCATCATATTATGAATACAATATTATAGTTTATTATAAAGTTCGTTAAGTAGTAAATTCTTTTTTGTTATTACTATTTTTTGTATTGTTTATATTCTCGTCGAGAGAATTTTATTGAAAAGATCGAGCAGGGGGAAAGCAGGAAGTATTTGTTATGTAATATTAAATAATTCTTTTAATACTTGTACTAATTTTTATTATGATTTTTTCTTTTCCATTCTTTAGTCTTTAATAGAGCATTGTTTGAATAAAGCACTATATTATTATTTACCTTGGCGGTAACGTGGATTGCCTGACTCGTATAATACAAAACCGAGCGTGACGAGAGTTAACTATGCACCCCCGTCTAGTATAACACAACTAAATTAGTAATTTTTTACCATTCTCAGTATAAACATGCAAGATATAGGCGCATGGATACTGTCAGACAAAATGCTGCAAGTGTCATTCAAGATTCCTACTCATCACGTGTTCGGTATCGGCGAACATCGCGTACGTTTTGAGCGCGACATGAACTGGAAGACGTACACCTTGTTTAATAGAGACATCATGCCCATGGATAACGTGAGTGTTGTTTGTTTTGAAATTTTTAATTGAGAAAAATTATCTCTCAGATCTTAGACAACATTGCCTGCTGAATTGCCTCTGTGTCCATACGGTTTCTATGCTGGACTGCCACGCAAGAGGTCCTGGGTTCGATTCCTGAGCTGGGAGAAATATTTGTGTGGCCTTGCAACAGCAACTGTTATCAGTAGACGTATCGCTTACTACCAGGCGCACGACGTGTTCGTCCCGTCACTTGATATCATAAAAAAATTAAATGCTGAAACTATTTTGTATGTGATTGCATATATTGTAAATAAATGAACAACCATAGCCGCAATAATTACACATTTACTATTTTGATGTAATTTAAAGAGTTATTTGTTATCATAAAAAAAATTGTAATGCATTTTTTGTTTGTTTTTTTTATAATACCAAGTGATGGGACGAACAAGTCGTGTGCCTGGTAGTAAGCGACACGCCTGTCTCTAACAGTTGCAGTGCTACAGAGTTTTAAATCACAAAGATCTGATAAGTTTATATCACCCTATAGCTTATGTCACCCTGAGACATAAGTTGACAAGTCCCATGTGCCTGTAATTTCACCAGCGCCATACCCTTCAAAACCGGAACACAGTAATGCTCACATTACTGCTTGGCGGGACATAGGTAAGGTGGCAGTACTTCCATGGACGAACTCTTTAACAAGCAACTCTGCAGCTACTAAAACTGATTCAATCCATATACGTTATTCTACTGTTTATTCAGATATTTCCGCTAAATATGTAATTCGTTTTGATATTTACAGATGAACTTATACGGATCGCATCCGTTTCATATGGCTGTCGAAATAACCGGAAAAACGAGTGGAATGCTGCTTCATAACTCCAATGCTATGGGTAAATATTGTAATGAAGATTTACTTATCCAACAAAAACACATTATTCGTAATTATTAATACGAAGATCGAATACTTAGAAAAAATTCCTTCGATCCGGCCGGATTCAAAACGACGTCTTCTAGCAAACCGTACCAGACGCTATACCATCTAAGCTAATTACAAGTAAATAAACTAATTACAGATAATAGCGATATCTCTAGCCAGAGCTGGTAGCTGCAAAGTTACCTAACTGGATGACGAAATACTTTCATAGATTTCTCAAAGGTGGCGCTACGGCTAAAAAGTCGTTGAAAATCAAAATCAAAATCAAAAATCAAAATAATCTTTATTTCATGGGTAAGCATTACTACAATAGAAATCGTCACGTTGGTTACACTCTACCGCTCATTCGTAAGGCAGATTCCCATGGAAGAATGAGCAAGGAACTCTAGGGGTTGCTCTTTGTAAATAACATTTGTACGCGTTCAACATTTACAATATACAGGGTGACTGGTTGAACGAAATAAATATTTAAAGAGATGAATGAGTAGCTGATACCCATCCCGAATATGTAAAAAAAACACGACTATGTAAAAAAAAAATATTAAACATTTTTATTTAAAGAAAATACTGGCTCTAATATTTTGTATTACTCTGCGCGTGACACCGCGTTCGTCAGAACAAAATCTTCTGCGCATGTACATTAGACACCCCCGCCACTACTCGTTGAAGGCCGCTTGCGCCGGCTACCCCAATCCCGCCCGCGCGTCCCGCCGCGCCGTCCGCCGGGTTAGTTCGCTTACGCCCTTCTGTAAGTCAGGACGTTGTGATTTTGCGATTAAACGCACGCGCCGCCGCCGCCGCGCCGATCTTTGTTTTCCGTGATACATCGGTCTATTCAACTGTGTAATTCCGTGGAGCGCAGTGACACATAACGATGCCTTATCACTACACAAATGAGGAGTACTGGGACATGATACGGTGTTATGTTATGGCAAATGATGTAGTTAGTGGTGCTAGGGACCTGTACCGTGAAATGTTCCCTAATCGGCGAGTTCCATCCTACACTTTAATGTTTAGGACTCAATTTTCGTTTGAGGACTTTTGGGCAGTTCACTGTGCCCTCGCATGCTCAAGGGCGAGGAAGGGATCCGTATCCAGTGGACCTACAAGAAGCGATTTTTGAATACTTTGAGCATGACCCACGCCGGAGTACTCGAAATGCAGCAAGACGATTCGGAGTGTCACAATGGACAGTGTGGAAACTCTTACACAGAGACGGTCTTCACCCGTACATTGTTAAGATTGCTGTAAATTTGTAAATTTAATCAAAATTAATTATTGTAAACAGGTATGATTCCATTTTTTAAATACGCCAAAAATACCAAACCATGCTCATACCTACTAGCTTAGTTTGTGTTTTACAACTGCCTAAAATATTGTGTACTTTAAAAAATAATTTATCGTAGTTTAATTGGTATTTTTGCCTGTCCTAAGCCAAAATCAAAGTATGAAGGGAAAATGGAATTATTTTTAAAACATTTTAAGCGAGAGAGGCTTGACACGCGCTCGTAGCGCGGGGCGCGGCGCGGCTGCGGGCGGTTCATTTTCCTAACAAACAGCTGTTCGTAGAGTAGCTCAAACGAACAGAGTATTAGTATTTGTAAAATGGTACGATATTTTTTTTTTATAATGTTTTGGGGCGATATTTTTACATATTCGGGATGGGTATCAGCTACTCATTCGCCACTTTAAATATTTATTTCGTTCAACCAGTCACCCTGTATATAGCTAAACTAAACGGGTTACTACCACGAATTTTTGTCATCCAAGTACGCAGAAGCCTTTAGTATAAAGTTTTTAGTTTAAACCTCGTGAACGGCAAATTTTGTATATATCAACCGGAATCTTGTTATAGAAGGGTATACATTGCCCCTTAAATGAATTTGTCACTTTGTGAAGACGACTATCAAGAACAGCTAGTTTATTTTTATTCAAATGCAAAGACCCGACAACAAGCACATAGAAAAAATCCTGAGGTCCGTTGGTTCGTTCCGCTGCTTAGTTGGCATAGCGTCTGCCACGGTTCGGATAACAAACTAGTGGAATGATTTCACGAAAAATAATTGAATATCAATTCAATACAAATTTAATTACATCATTCGTATTTTTAAAATAAATACATTTTTATATCTCATCGATTATTATATATATGTCGGATCAGGACTAAGAACGTGGGTGTTATCATCTTCATTTCCTGCGGTCTCCATTGGGTACTCGGGCAATCGAAATCAAACAATCGCCGTGCCAACTTAGAGTTATATACTTTTAATAAACAAACAAACGAACCGGCAGGTTTGAGGTAGTGGTCCAAGAACACGGCGTCTCTTTACTTTTGTTAAAAATCTCATAAAACAATCCAGTTTGAACAGCGTCAAGCAAAACATTCGTATGACCGCCATTTCGTTTTTCAACCCCTGCCTCCCTCGCGCCCCACCTCAACTCTGCCCGAGAAACGTCAACGCGTTCTCGGGTTCGTCACTAGATAGCGTAAATAACAAAAATCATAATTAAAAAAGTAATGTTTACACTTTGACATATATGTATATTATGTTGCGAACCGGTCCCATATCCGCTCGGCACGAGACGCGGGGGAGTTAGACACGGCTAGCGTGACGTCACAACGAGCGGCAACGGCGCAGTGGCACTAGCCTTATTAACAACTACCGGCGACTGTCGACCTTTATACATTTATTTATATAAACCAGTACAGCTGTATGATTGAGACGGCGAATAATAATAATAATAATAGTAACGCACACACTCTTAGCCCCGCACTAGGGAAACCCTGTATCGCGGGTGCCATGGACACACACATAATACATGTAGGCCATACAAATTTTTTTTCCGGCCCGGGAATCGAACCCAGGACCTCTGCGTGGCAGTCCAGTATGGTAAACGTTCGGCCACTAAGGCAGTTAAATATACCAGTCCGCTTGTTATTTCACGTCCCATTAGGACCCTATCAATTGAAATAATCTTTATAACACATGTGCAACTGGCGGCCATATTGCAATGTAGCAATTTCTTCCAGGCAACTTTGAGTCGCTAATTTGATATATGCAAAATGGGTATCGAAGTTGGAAAATGCAGCACCTAGATTGCTAGCCGCAACTTGATTATATTATTATTTTTATTTAACCGTAATTGTGTTTTTATCGTATCGATGTCATATGCTATAATGCTTGCCATCGCGGTGAAAGGGTTTGCCATGCGGCGTAAGGGCGGTTACACACGGCGACTATTAGCAGCGATGCAAGCGCGCGACTGCATCGATACCATCGAGTATAATATAACCAGAAATAGAGACGATTGTCATTTAATTTGTTTGAAAACTATTCTACCAAATGATTACGGAGACAACTGCACTCCGATTGGCCAACCCGAATTCGAAACAATTGACGGGTGTCGTCAATTGTTTCATTTTAAATCGACCAGGTTAACTTGAGCTTTACTATAATGGACGAAAATTGAAAAATTACATATTTCATTATCGATTAAAATTTGATTCCGTTTGTTTTGTAATGTTTTGCATTTTTCCGCACAGCACTGAGTGGAGCAGCCCCCATTGTTAGAGATAGTATCTTTATTACAATAAATACAGAATATTTTTCGAATATACGGACACGTACTCACAGGTCAGTTGTTGACGCTGTACTTTTCAGTTTTCTAATTTGTGATTTCAGCGCAAACGAGAGTTATAAGGCCCATTTACCTGATGGTTGCCAGGGATGGATGGCCCTTATTTCGTCTCTATTTCTGGTTATATACTCGATCGATCGATCGATACAAACGCACAATTGCATCGCTACACTTTGGGATTGATAGGCGATTGCGTCGATGTAATCGCGCGTTTGTTTCGATGCAATCGCGCGTTTGTATCGATGCAGTCACGTGAATGTCGCCGTGTTTAACCAGTCTAAGGTACTCGTCGCCAGAAGTACAGGAAAAGAATGGTCCGTCGTCGTGCGGGGAGGCTCCTTTCGTGCACCACGTGTAATTTTCATCATTGAAATACCATTGTTTCTCAGATGTGGTCTTCCAGCCGACGCCGGCAATAACGTACAGAAGCACCGGCGGTGTGTTGGACTTTTTTGTGTTCGTCGGCCCTACGCCTAAAGACGTCATCTCTCAACTCACCACCATAATAGGGAGGCCTTTCATGCCACCTTACTGGTCACTTGGAATGCATCTTTGCAAGTAAGTTATTATACCTTCACTTATAACTATGTTATTGGCTTTGTTCAACAACATTATAAGTGAAACTTTTTCCTATTAATACAAAGTTTTTAAATATTTTTATTACACATACACTACGTATTTTTATTTAATAAACCAGATGCTATATAAATGCCGTAAACAATTTTTTTCTTCATCATGTGAAGTTGTCAAAGTTGAGATAGTACCAGTTGCCAGTTCACAGTCGATATGTTTCTTTGATTAGTTTAATGTCTACATTAAAACCAAGAAAAAATATTAAACAAAAAACAAATCGTCTGTTTTTTATTCTACTTTTGCGCCTTTGTGAATATTATAAATTTCTTATTTTTCAGGTATGGCTACAAAGATTTGAACTACACTAGAGCTGTCTGGAAGAGGAACCGAGAAGCTGGCATTCCTTTTGTAAGGATCTGTTTCATAACGTAAAGTATGGCCATACTCTGGAACCTGTCTGCCCGACTTTCGACTCTTAGTTTTTAACCGCCTTCGAGGAGGTTCTTAATTACACTATGTTACTATTATTATATTTTAAATAATAATAACATAGTGGTCCCATTCAAATTTCAAGAAAATATTCTACCTCTAAGGTTAGCAAACTTGGGGATGAATCCGATTTCTCGTACTTTTCAGTAACCGATTTCAATGTGCCTATAATTTCACCAGCCCTTCAAAACCGAAACACAGTAACGCTCACATTACTGCTTGGCAGCAGAAATAGGTAAGGTGGCAGTACTTCCCTGGACGAACTCTTTCACATGGAGCTCTACTGCTACTAAAAAACCAGAACGCTTTGTACCAGGCGCAAAACTTTCTTTTGTGAAAATACTCCACTAGTTTGTTATTATTGATATAAGTGAATATTTGTTCGATATGGCTGGACTGCTGATACTTGCTATACTATGGCTTCATTAAAATAAAATTAATTTTCGCCACAACGATTTTACGTGGGCCAAATACATCGGCGACAGCTAAGATAACATTAGCCTCATTTTTTACTGCAGGACGTACAATGGAACGACATAGACTATATGAAGAATAGCAACGACTTCACAATAAACCCGGAGAGGTTCTCTGATCTGCCTAAATTTGTAGAAGAAGTACACAACGCGGGCATGCATTACGTTATGTTGTTTGGTAAGTGCGCCATGGCGTATTTGAAGATAATCGGGCTCACCGGTGAGAAATTAGACGTGGGACTTTTCAACTTATGTCTCAGGGTGACTGACGCAGTGACATTACCCCTCAGATGTTTGCGATTTAAACCTCTGAGCAGCATTGCAACTGTTATGGACAGGCGCGACAACCACCAGCCGTACGACTTGTTCGTCCCATCACTTTGTAACATGAAAAAACGTACTAGCTCTTCGTTCTGTCTAGAAGTAATTTAAGTAACCATCGAATATATGACCAGAAATAGAGACGAAATGTCATTTAATTTGTTTGAAAACTATTCTGCCATATCTTTACTATGACAACCGTGCTCCGATTGGCCAGCCCGAATTCGAAATTGACGGGTGTCGTCAATTGTTTCACTTCAAATCGACCAGTTAACTTGAGCTTTGCTATAATGGACGAAAATTGCAAAATTACGAAATTACGTATTTAATTACCGATAAAGTTTGATTTCGTTTATTTTGTAATTAGATGTTTTGCTGTTCTTCCCCATACCACCGAATGGAACAGCACGCCATTGTTAGAGATATTATCTTTGTTACAATAAATAAAGAATATTTTTCGAATATACGGAGACGCACACACAGATCAGTTGTTGGCGCTGTCTATATTTCAGTGCAATCGAGAGTTGATATTTATATAAGTGATGTATCTTTGATGAGTTACCAGATATGTGTGGCCCTTATTTCGTCCTATTTCTGGTTATATACTCGATGAGTGCAACTTATTAGGTAATTTAAAAGTATTTTTAATATTTTTTAATCATATGTGTTAAACATTTTACTCTCCCACAATTAAACATACGTGTGTATCAAATAAAAAGAAAAACGAAATGTTTTTAGAGGTTCCGAACAGTGGGTTTCCACACAAGATAATCCGAGTAAAGTAGAAACTGTAATTCCTCATGTGGTAACATTTACCATACATGATTTATTTTGTCCAACTTTCAGATCCGGGTGTGAGCGCAGCAGAGAAACCAGGAACATATCCTCCATTCGACCGCGGACTCGATATGGATGTGTTCGTAAAAAATCGCACCAACCAGCCGTTCATTGCAAAGGTATGCAAAATTGAACATAGGGCGCATGTAGATAGAGTTTTTTATTTACAAATACTATTAGCATATTCCACACTATAAAATAAGTATAATAGTAGCTGTTGTCGATAGTTTAATCGATAGATTGTGAAAGACGATAAACTTTTGCCAAAAAT